TTTTTTTAAATAATTTATTTATTCATGAGATACACAGAGAGAGAAGAGAGAGGCAGAGAGACACAGGCAGAGGGAGAAGCAGGCTCCACACAGGGAGCCTGACCTGGGACTCGATCCCAGGTCTCCAGGATCACGCCTTGGGCTGCAGGCGGCACTAAACCGCTGTGCCACTGGGGCTGCCCAGAATCTGGAGATTTTAACAGGATCTTCAGGTCAGTCTCTGAACACAGAAATACCTTCTTGAGTGATAGAATATCAACCTTGTACCTACTTCAACTGTCCATCAAAAGCTTGCTCTGAGAAGGAGATAAGAAACAGAGCTCTCTGAAGGGTTGATGAAATTAGATTAAATCAACACATAAGAATTAAATGCCAAACATTAGTGACTAATCTGTCCATCTTTCCTTCCTGCAGGTAGGGTCCTGATCATTGCCCACTTAAACTTTCCAATAACCTAACTGCTCTGTCCTGTAACCATATCCTTTTTACTACCAGAGTTACTGTCCTGGCACATGAATTGGTCATGGGCCTTCCTCTAAGACTCGTAAGGATGTGACTGGCTACTGGTAAAGAGCAAGCTTTTTAGTATAGAACGTAATGCTTTGACAAACCTGCTCCGAGTTTCTTTCTTACTTTTTTTTAAGATTTTATTTATTCATGAGAGACACACAGAGAGAGACAGGCAGAGGGAGAAGCGGGCTCCATGCAGGAAGCCCAATGTGGGACTCAATCCCAGGACTCTGGGATCACATCCTAAGCCAAAGGCAGACACTCAACCCCTGAGCCATCCAGGCATCCCTGCTCCGAGTTTCTTCACCTTTCACTTTAAATTATCTGCTGCTACCGCGTTGGGCGTCCTGCCATTTAGTGAATAAGCCATGTCTTCTGTTTTCCAGGAATTCCCTTCTCTGAACCAAATTTACTTCTCACTGCTCAGTTTATAAGCCCCTTTCTATATAAATATTTATATAATTTATATATTTATATAATTTATGTATTATAATTTATATAATATATAATATATAAATATATCAAACACATAGTACCTAAGCACCTAGAGAAAACCACAAGCAGGGGAGTGGGAGAAGCAGGCTTCTTGCTGAGCAGGGACCTTCCTCCCTCTATAGGGCTCAATCCTGGGATCCTCCTGGGATCATGACCTGAGCTGAAGGCAGGCCCTTAACTGACTGAGCCCCACAGGTGCTTAGGCTCTGTTTTAAATACTTGGGATACATAAGTGTACAAAACATCTTTGCTCTAGTTGAATTTACACGCTATAAAAATCTTGTCTCCTGCCTGTGCTGCATGTTTGCATAACCCTTCCCCAGATTAGTGCAAGATTCCATTCTGGTTGAATCACTTATTTATTATTATTATTATTATTATTATTAAAAGCCTCAATAGTTTTTTTTTTAAGATTTTATTTATTTATTCATAGAGAGGCAGAGACACAGGCAGAGGGAGAAGCAGGCTCCATGCAGGGAGCCCGACCTGTGGGACTCGATCCCGGGTCTCCTGGATCACACCCTGGGCTGCAGGCGGCCCTAAACCACTTCACCACAGGGGCTGCCCTGAGTGTTCACTTACAAGTATCTAAGTACCCTCCATGTGCAAGATTTGCAGAGGCTACTTGGTTAAATCAGAGATCTTGCTCTTCGGTTTACAGGCTAAGGGAATCTACTATAATTAGAGAATTCTGTGTCCCAAGTGATGTTGAAGGTCTAAGAATTCAAGAGAACAATTTACATTTCGTTGTGAGGCATTGGGGAAGACTTTATGAGAGGTGATTTTTGAACTGGACCTGTAAAGATGAGAAGAAGGACATTGTAGTTGGAGCAACAAGAGCAAAAGGGGAGATGTTATGGGGCATATACAAATCATTCATTTAATTTGGCTGGAGGATAGGATGTGAGAAGGGGAGTAGTGGAGGATGTGTTTGGAAAGGTAGGTTGGGTTCAGACTAAGGATTTTGGATTTTATTGAGTTAGTAATGGGGAGCTGAGAGTTTGAGCCAAAAGGTGACCTGATTCTAGCTGGGATTTGGGAATATTAACCTACTGAGAGTTATGTGGGTTTTTTGGTTTGTTTTTGGTTGGGATGGGGGATGTTAGGAGGATTCCGGTGAGACGAACAAGAGCCAATGAGGACCTGATTGGGTGCAGCTGCAGTAGGAAGAGAGCCATGGACAAGGATGGATGGACGATACCGCCAAGGCAGAAATCAACAGGATGTGATGCTTTTTGAAGACAGGGACCAGACTCCACAGCTCTGAGCACCATAGGTGCTCACCACATTTGTTGGATGAACATGTGTAATGGATATTCACAGAATAGGTGGCTCAGTATTGCCTGAACTAGGGGAAGCTCTGTGGAGGAAGGGGGACTTGGTTATACTTTTGGTCTCCCTCTGCCAATACTTCTCTTCATAATGCTGTATAATTCTGGTTGGGTCTACTTTCTAATCTAAATTACATGCTTGGAAACTGGGGATGTGTTTGTCATAGGGATTCTTTCTCTGAGGTGCCTCTATCTCTTGAGAATGTGCTGCTGGGGACACTAACCCTTGAATATCTTGACCCCACTAGAGTGACCCTAGGTGGTATTTTCTTGGCCCTCAACTTAAGATGATACTACCTGCAGGAGAGTCTTGATGGGCTGTTTCAGTGACCTGCACCTTGGCAGAGTCCCCCCCCCCCATTCCTCCAGGGGCTGCCCCTCTATTTTGGAAATCCAGTGCCAGCTCACCAAGAGGGATTCAGGTCCAAGAGGTCTGATCCAAAAAAAAGCAAACACAGGAAACAATGATTAAGGATGTGGGTAATTGTAGTTAATATTCAAGCTATACCAGGCTGGTCTGCTCAGCTAACCAAATCGTGGTGTAAAGGTTTTGTGCTTTTTGTTTAATATATTTGTAAAATCAGAGCAGGGGAATGGGAGGCAGCTGTAGGAACCTGATAAACATGCAGTGTTTCTCACTGTGATCACCATGTGGTAGAATCTGCATCACCTAGGAACTAGTTAGAAATGCAAATCCTGGCCACTGCCACTCCATCCAACCTCAGACCTGGACACTCTGATAATGGTGCCCAGCAGTCTGTTAACAGGCACACCACGGGATTATGATGCATGCTAAAGTCTGAGTACCACCGATTTACAAAAATTTTTCTTTTTTTTTTAAATCACAGAATTTTTTTTTTTAATTTTTATTTATTTATGATAGTCACACACAGAGAGAGAGAGGCAGAGACAGGCAGAGGGAGAAGCAGGTTCCATGCACCGGGAGCCCGACGTGGGACTCGATCCCGGGTCTCCAGGATCGAGCCCTGGGCCAAAGGCAGGCGCCAAACTGCTGCGCCACCCAGGGATCCCAAAAGTTTCTATAAAAATCTAAGACAGCTGTCAAAAATTAGAACACTCTTCCCTGAACAGTTTTTTTTTTTTTTTAAGATTTTATTTATTTATTCATGAGAGATAGACAGACACAGGCAGAGGGAGAAGTAGGCTCCATGCAGGGAGCCCGACTTGGGACTCAATCCAGGATCTCCAATATCAGGCCTGGGCTGAGTCCCCTGGGCTACCCTTGAACAGAGTTTGTTAAATAGTAATGTTTTCTTCCTCTGCAATCCATTTCTTAGGCTCTTTGTGTTTGCATTAAATCTTAGAAGCTCACAATTTACCAGTATTTTATAATCCTTAATATATGGGTCTGATCAACCCCTGATGAGATCCTAAGGATGCTGTTAAAGGTTTCATCACACATTTGCAAGTTATTGGGTTATTTCAACAAAGATCTCCACAATGAATGATGTGAGATGTTTTCTTACTGAATTTCCTCAGCTTGCCCCACAGTCTGGGGGTGCACCTTACTTGGAGAAGGTATCTGTTTATTATATGTCAGTTGACCACACTTTCGCTTAGATCAAATATATGGGCAAATAATCTCCCCTCCCTCCAAAAAGAGAAAATACTAAAAATAAAAACCCCTGCAGAATAATTTCTACTGGGAAGAGTTTGTAGGCTTTTTGGACAAAGACTAGGATGAATGGGAAATGCAGAAAAGATAGAAGGTAAAACCTGCATATATCACATTTTACTTTATATTCAGTGGTTAACTCTGATTTTTCCAAAATAAGGTTCTTGGGTTACAGTCGAGGAAGATGGGTATGAGCATGAGTGGTTTATTCAAATGTGTAGGATCTGAATCGTGTTGCCTTTACTCCTGCTGCTCGCCCAGCCTGGAGCCCAAGCCGCAGAAGATCCCTGCCTGGTGGCTGATGGACAAGTGAAGACTGGGTGTGGCATAGAAGGCTCCAGAGGGCTCTGCAAAAGCATGCTTGAGGGGAGTGTCTGCTGGGGTAGTAGGCCCCAGGGAAGGTAGAGGAGACCCAGGAGTCCCAACGGGGATTTGGGGAAGGGAGAGAGAGCTTTATTATTTTTTTTTTAATGAAATAAATTTTTCCTGATGTCTGTGTGTTCTGTAAAGTTAAACAAGTAGCTTTAAGACCTTTATCTGTCCCGCCCTACCCCACTGCCAGGAATAACGTGTATAACCAAACCAAGTCACTTTGGGTCCACTGCAGGCGTTAAAACGGTCAATCGACGTAAACTTCCGATTCCCGGGCAAGGACTGCCCCTCCTCCCCTCCACGGGGAAACCGCACCCCTGCTTCAGGAGCTCCCTGACCGAGTTCCCCCCAGTGGGCCGCTGCCCCCCGCCCCCGTGAGCCTACCACGCTGCCCCTGCTCCCCTCCCGGCGGGGGCCCAGCTGGAGGGGCCCGCGGGGAGTCCGCCACCGGCGTCCACTCCCGCGGCCTAGGCCGGGGTGGGCGGCCGGCCTCCCCCGGGCTGACCCCCGAGGCCGCGAGGACCCGCGGGGGCGCGCGGAGGGCCGCGGGCCGCGGGCGTGCGGTCCTTCGGGCTGCAGGGGGCGCTGTGCGCACCCTCGGGCCCGGCCGCGAGCGCAGCTCTTGTTTAAAGGGCCGACGGGGCACGTGGCTCGGACGCAGCTCGCGGCCTCCCGGCAGGAGCTCCGAAGCTGGGCGGCTCCGCTCCGCCTCCGCCTGCGCGCTGCGCCAGGCCCGCCAGGCCCGCCAGGCCCGGCCGACGAGAGCCGCCGACAGAGGGACGCGAGCAGCCATGGCCGAAGCAGCGCCCGCCCGGGTAAGCGCCCCGGCGCGCGGACGCCCAGACGGGCCCGGGCCGCCGCCTCAGCCGCCGCGAGGGCCCGTGAGGGTCTCCGCCCGGCCGGCGTGGAGCGGCCCCGCCGCGCGGCCTCCCTGCCGCCGCCTCCGCCCAGGCCGCCGCCCGCCCCGCCGCGCCAGCCCCGTCCGCCCCGCCGCCCCGGTTTGCGTCCGGGCCCGGCTTTCGGGTCGACCGACCGACCGGGCGGCCCAAACGGCAGGGGAGGCGGCCCCGACGGCGGGGGACAGGCCAGGCTTCTCCGCGGCGCTTCCGATGACAGGCCGTGGTTGGAGCAGAGCGGCTGTGCCCCCGTCCATTGTCTCGTTGGAGGCACGCAGGGCGGACCGGGCGCCGGCCCGTGCGGTCCTGACAGCCGGTCGGGCTCACCTGGTCGGGGCCACGGCCCAACAGCCCGACGTCTAGGCCAGAACTTCGGGACTGCGTCCCGGTGAAGGTACCCAGTGTTGAGCTCTTACCTAAGAGAAGGTGCTGAATGCTGCTTACGAGGGAGTGTAGGTACATTTTTTTTTTTTTTTTTGATTTATGATAGTCACAGAGAGAGCACAGAGAGAGACAGAGACACAGGCAGAGGGAGATGCAGGCTCCACGCAGGGAGCCCGATGTGGGACTCGATCCTGGATCCTGGGATCACGCCCTGAGCCCAAGGCAGACACTCAACCGCCAAGCCACCCAGGTGTCCCTTTTTTTTTTTTTTTTTTTTTAAGATTAGCGTGTTGGATTGAATTATTTGGATGACTTTATAATGTTGGCCGGTAATGGGCAGTATGCCCAATTTGGAGAAAAGAATCCTTTGGCTGTTTTTGACACACCAGAAAATCACTTGCATACAACGCTCAATAGGTGCCTTCTGTTATTATTAATACATCTTAGTGAAGTTTCTGAAACCTTGATCTTGGGGGATCCTTTTGAAGGAGGAACTTCCCCTCCCTTTCCTTTAATGAGTTTGGTGTGTCCTTCCCTTAGGATTCCCTGAGTGCAAGGGAGAGAAGGGGGGTGGGGAGTACTGCAGTTTGTGGCCCTGTCCCCTGGGGAATACCCCCCAAGCCATTTCTGTAACTGCACTGGTGACATCACCAGCTTCCACCTAGCCCAGGACCACTCCCCAGAACTTTCTCTGGCTATTCCTATCCATACACTCCTTCCCCTCTGCCGTCTTTAATTAGAGTACCTGAGATTCCCGAGAAACTCCCCAAACAGAACAGATGTGCCCCCGACTCTTGTCAGCCCATCATATCATACTGTGGTTTATCATGACTGTTTCTATACAGAATTTTTCTCCTGGAAAAGGAAGAACCACATAATTTTTTCTGCATTCCCCTATTGCACCTTTACAAGGCAGGTGTTCAGTAGTTGGTACTGAATGAATGTTGTGAGGTTATTCATTCATTCAGTAGGTATTCATTGAGCATCTGCAGTGATTGAGGCACTCTTAGAAGCTGAGAATACAACAGTGACCCTTGGAGAACTTGGGTTTTGCACGAAACAAACCACATATGGACTTGTCTTGAGTCCTTAGTGCTGTCAAAGAAGGGACTCACAAGGTCCTCTTTCAGCTTTGCCAGTCAGTGAAGGTTTCTAGAAGCCTTTGAGTTGCCGGAGCCTTAAAAATAAGAGGAAGCCAGATGCACAGAGAGGTAGGTAGGTAGCTAGGTGGGGTGGGGTGGAACTAACACATGCATGGAGGAGAGTGAGGTGTGTGTTAGGAATCCAGGGAGGCCGAGGTGGCTGGAGTATAGTACATATAAGGTTAGAGAGGCAGGCGGAGGTACAAGAAGTGGTGTGGATTCTGCTCGAAGTATGCTGGCAAGCTACTGAAGAGTTTTAAGCAGGGGCCTAAAATGATCTAGCCTGTATTTTTATTTTATTTATTTTTATTTATTTATTTATGATAGTCATACAGAGAGAGAGAGAGAGGCAGAGACATAGGCAGAGGGAGAAGCAGGCTCCATGCACCGGGAGCCCGATATGGGATTCGATCCCGGGTCTCCAGGATCGCGCCCTGGGCCAAAGGCAGGCGCCAAACCACTGCGCCACCCAGGGATCCCTAGCCTGTATTTTTAAACACTTCCTGACTGCTCTGGGAAAGTGTACTGAGGAAGAGGAGGTGAAGTGGGGGAGTTAGGGGGCATTGCTGCGGCTGGGACCAAGTGATGACAGTGGAGAAGAGGATGGATTTGAGATAATTTTGGAAGTCAGAGAGGACTTGAGGTGGTCTGACCATGAAGAGTGAGTGAAGGGGAGAGGTGAGAGGTCACTTCATTCTTCCAAAAAGGCTTTTAGTACGAGGTACTTGAGACCAGGCCGTTGCACACACTCTGGCTCATGCACCAGGCACTGGTGTGAGCTGAGGCACTTTAGAAGCTCTTTCCAAGGTGCCCAAAGGTGAGGGAATGAAAGAGGTGGAGGAGAAAAGCCCATGTGAACTCTTTCTTGCTGAGTCCCTGAGCCAGAACCATCATCATCAGCATTGTCAACACCATTATCATCTTAATCAAATCAACGTGGGGCTTTGTGTGCATTATTTCCCACATGCTAGACATTGGTGAGGATTGTGTCATTAATTCTCACAATCCTGGGGATCCCTGGGTGGCTCAGTGGTTTAACGCCTGCCTTTGGCACAGGGCGTGATCCTGGAGTCCCAGGATCAAGTCCCACATTGGCTCCCTGCATGGAGCCTGCTTCTCCCTCTGCCCGTGTCTCTGCCTCTCTTCTCTCTCTCTGTGTCTCTCATGAATAAATAAAATCTTAAAAAAAGAAATTCTCACAATCCTCCCATGTAAGTACCGTTTTCTAGATATAGAAGTGAAATTGAAGGCTGTGTGAAAAACCTTGCCCGAGCCAGCCAGCTTGGGAGCAGCAGAGTTGCTGGTTGGACCCGGCCTCTGGATGTGAGACAGGAGACTAGGACCCAACATGGAAGCCCACCTGAGAACTGCAGATATTTTCTTCCGCTTTCCACTTGCTAACACCTTGGTCCCGCCAGTGTTTCCGGTCCTGAGGCTGCACTCCTAACTGATGTCCCTGCCTCCCGTCCCACACTGCTGCCTGACTGGCCCTTAGGATCCCACGTGGGGCTTTGCCGGAACAGTTGAGGCTTCTTTCTGAAGTATGTGTTTTGATTGTATCATTCTGATAATATCTCCCCTTTCTCTTCTTGTGGACAGGCTCCAGAGAGGGACAAGCAAACAGAGGACGAAAGCCCTTCGACGCCTTCTTTGTCACCCCAGCCAGCAGCTGAGAAGAACTCATACCTATACTCCACGGAGATCACACTGTGGACCGTGGTGGCCGCCATCCAGGCCTTGGAGAAGAAGGTGGACTCCTGCCTGGCCCGCTTGCTGACCCTGGAGGGGCGGACGGGGACGGCCGAGAAGAAACTGGCGGATTGTGAGAAGACGGCCATGGAGTTTGGGAACCAGCTGGAGGGCAAGTGGGTCGTGCTGGGGACCCTGCTGCAGGAGTACGGGCTGCTGCAGAGGCGGCTGGAGAACATGGAGAACCTGCTGAAAAATCGAAATTTCTGGATCCTGCGGCTTCCGCCAGGCAGCAAAGGGGAGATCCCTAAGGTATCTTTTGGGCACCTGGGGTGGGATGGCCTGAGGGGTGGTGCCTGTAAGTATGTGGGTGAGCGTGCGTGACACTGTTCCAGGTGCCCGTGACCTTTGATGATGTGGCCGTGTATTTCTCTGAGCCGGAGTGGGGCAAGCTGGATAATTGGCAGAAGGAGCTCTACAAGCACGTGATGCGGGGCAACTATGAGATGCTGGTGTCCCTGGGTAAGGCTGCATAGGTGGGGATCTGGGTCTGCGTCCACAGATTGGCCTCCAGAAGTCTGTGTCTTTGCTTTCAGTGCTTTTCTCCGTGTCTCTCCATCTCTCTGGGTAGCCGGGTGGCAGGTGTCCAGTCTTGACCCAGCTCTCTTTCCATTCTGTGTGCAGATTATGCCATCTCCAAACCAGACATCCTGACCCAGATGGAGAGGGGAGAGGAGCCTTGTCCTGAAGGCCCATGGGGCCAAGAGGAGGGAAATAAGAGGGAGGCAGCATGCCCAAGGAGGCCAAGCCTTGGTGAGTGGGGGTGAGGTGGGGGAGTGAGCGGGGCACACTGAATCATAGTCCTGCTCTCCTGGGCTTTCCAGATGTGCTGCGAGGCCAGGAAGGGATCACAAGCCCTTAACCCAAAGTGGGGCCCACTCTGTCTTAGGCCAGCCTGGTTGGGGCGGGTGCAGAGCTTTTGTTTTTGAGCTGTACTGTTTCTGCTTCTGAGTGAGTGGCCAGCAGTCCCGGTGTCGTGTGGTTGGTTGTTGTGAGGACTACATGACACGGCAGACGTAAAGCTCATACTTATTGAGCATTGTGTAAGTGGGGGCTTATTACTGACAGTGATACTGCTAGCAGCAGCATTATTGCTGCCCCTCTTGCCTGCCCCTTCCACGTCAGCTCCCCAACTTGAACCTGGAGCTCTAAGGCCTGTTGTGTACTGGCTTCCCTTTGTGGAAATGGCCCTCTCAGGGGACCGGCCAAGCCAACTTCATCCTGAGAGCTAGTAAGGTAAGGGACAGTGGTTCCAAAGTTGGCAGCCCATCAGAGTCTTCTGGGCTGTTTTTTTTTTTTTTTTTAAAGTTTTAAAAAATAAATGGAAGTAGAGAGAAGAGTACAGTGAGCCTCCAAGTGATCATCACACACATTCAGCAGTGACCAGGGTTGGCTACACTGGCTTCACTCTCTCTTCCCTTTCTCTAAACAACCCAGATACCACTGTCACACCCCGCAGATTAACATCTAATCCCTAGCCCACGTTCTCTTTTCCCCAGTTGTCTCAAAACTGTTTTCTGTAGGTGCTAGGTCCTAATTCTAGTATACCAGAGTCCACCTGTTGTATTCGGTTTATAAAAAGTCTGTTATGAAGCCTGTGAAAACCTCCCCCCAGTGCCACGTTTAACAGCTTTATTGAGATTTAGTTAACAGACCATCCAATTCAATAATTAAAGTATACTGCTCGGTGTTTTACTGTATTCACAGTTTTTTGACCATCACCATAAGCTGTTCTTAGAACCTCTCTTGCCCACCAGAGAGAAACCTGTAGTCACGCGAGTTAACTTCCCTTTTCCCTCCCTCTGCTCCGTAGCCCTAGGCAGCTACTGATCTATTCCGTGTGTCTTAGGTTTGCCTGTTCTAGACATTTCACTTATTTTTTTTTTAAGATTTTGTTTATTTATTCATGAGAGACACACAGAGAGAGGCAGAGACACAAGCAGAAGGAGAAACAGGCTTCCTGTGGGGAGCCTGACATAGGACTTGATCCCAGGTCTCCAGGATCATGACCTGAGCCGAAGGCAGATGCTCAACCACTGAGCTACCCGGGTGTCCCTAGACATTTCACTTAAATGGAGTCATACTGTGTGTGACCTTTTGTGTCAGCCCCTTCTCACTGAATGTGTGTTTAGGTTTATGCACATTGTGCCTGCGTCTGTATCTGTGTGGGTACACTGCATTCACCACATTTTGTTGCTCTGCTCCTCAGGTGATTGACCATCCTCAGATCTCCTTCCATGTCCTTTATTTGTTGACATTCTTACACATTTATCTTTTTTTTTTAATTTTTATTTATTTATGATAGTCACACACAGAGAGAGAGAGGCAGAGACACAGGCAGAGGGAGAAGCAGGCTCCACGCACCAGGAGCCCGACGTGGGATTCGATCCCGGGTCTCCAGGATCGTGCCCCAGGCCAAAGGCAGGCGCCAAACCGCTGCGCCACCCAGGGATCCCTACACCATTTATCTTTTTAAATGCCGTTACTTCCCATATTTTGGATGTGGTGTCATTTATTCTTCTGTTTCTTGCATTTCCTATAAACTGGTAGATCAAGAGGCTTCTTTAGATTTCGGCTGAACTTTATGGGCAGGATGAAGGCGCCAAACCGCTGCGCCACCCAGGGATCCCTTTTTTTCTTTTTTTTAATGACTTCATAGACTGTTGAATATTTTATATATGCCAGTCTTTCACAGCCATTATTTTTTGTGCTTAACTTGTCCCATCTTTAGCTCATAGGAGCGCCTTCAAGTTGGCCCATAGGCCATTTTGATGTGACTTCTATGGCTTTCAGATACCATAAGATGTTCTGGAATTATCTAGCATAGTTCTTGCCCCAGACCCAGAATATACAGATTTCTCCAAGGAGTTTTGATTCCTTTCAGCAACGAATGCTATTTGGAGACAACAATATGAGGGCTGGTAGTTGCTCATTTTTGCCATTACTTCTAGGGCTTTTTCAGAAGTTTTTAAAAATTTTTTTAGAAAATATGTATTTTTGAAAAGAAAAAATTGAGTCCATAGTGCTATTTCTCATGCAAATTTAATTTTTTTAACGATTTTATTTATTTATTCATGAGAGACACAGAGAGCGAGAGAGAGGCAAAGACACATTCAAGAAGGAGAAGCAGGTTCCACGCAGGGAGCCCAATGTGGGACTCAATCCCAGGACCCTAGGATCACACCCTGAGTGGAAGGCAGATGCTCAATGTTGAGCCACCCAGGTGTCCCATGTTCTTTGATCTTATACTTGTATATCTCTTTTATTTTATTTATTTATTTATTTATTTTTAAATAGATTTATTTTTTATTGGTGTTCAATTTGTCAACATACAGAATAACACCCAGTGCTCATCCTGTCAAGTGCCCACCTCGGTGCCCGCCACCCAGTCACCCCCACCCCCCAATCTCTTTTCTTTTACATGGAAATCTTAAACAATTAGACTTCTGACTGAAGGCTGAGTTTCTTTGCAAGCTCTTTTTGTCCTCTGAATGCATTCCATTCAGGACTTACAGACGAAATTCTACCACATAAAGTCACTTGAAATAATTATTATCTCTATGTGGTTATGTCACCAACTCAATATACAGTTAAGTTTATTTGTTTCTATGTATTTTTCGGTTTTTTAAAAAAATCTGTTTTTAAAAGATTTAATTTATTTAGCCTGCATGATGGGGGAGGGGCAGAGGGAGAGGGAGAAGCAGACTCCCCGCTGAGCAGGGAGCCCCACTTGGGGCCCTGGGAGCATGACCTAAGCTGAAGGCAGACACTTAACCAACTGAGTCACTCAGGTGCCTCTATTTTTAGATTCTTAGAAGTGGCTCTTTTTACCTTTTCATTTAACGTTTTGAATATATAAGCCATGTTGTGTTTGCAAAGTCAAAATGGTTTAACAGAATACATTCAGAGAAGTCTTATTTCCATTCTCATCCCCTTCTTGTACCTATGGATAACCATTCTTATTAGTTTCTTCTTTATACTTCTGATGTTTCCTTTTGCAAAGATCAGTAACACAGGTACATGTGTCTCCACCCATCCCTGTCTCACACAGTTTCTCCTGGAGATCACTTCATACGTGTATGTAAAGATCTTCCTCCCTTTTTTTGTGGATGCAGAATGTTCCATGGTGTCGTATACCATAGTTTGTTTAACCAGTCCCTACTGGTGGACACTTGGCATACTTCCAATATTTTGGTGATATAAATAATGTTGTAGTGACTACTTTGTGCATAAGGCAGTTCATATTTTTGCCAATGTGTCTTTGGGATAGATTTCTAGAAGCTACAGTTATGGTTCAGAGATAAATGAATATGTAAATTTTTGAGAATTTATCATCAAATACCCCTCCATGGAGGTTATATCATTTGCATCTCCTTCAGTGTTCTGAAAGAAGGCCTGGCCTTGCCAAAGAGAATGTGGTCAAACTTGTGGAATTTTTGTCTGCCTAATATGTAAGAATATGTCTGCTTAATATTTCTGTGTAGCTTTAAGTAACAGCTTTATTGGCTATAATTAAGTCACTGTCCAACTCTCCCATTTAACCTGTACAGTTGAGTGGTTTCTAGCTTATTCATCGATACATGCAACCAGTAAACCCCACAGTCAATTTTATAACACTTTCATCACCTCCAAAACAAACCCTGTACAGTCTGGCTGTCACCACCAGCCCCTTCCTAACTCTCCAGCTGTAAGCGATGACGAGTCTTCCTGGCTATATAATTGCCGAGCCTGGACGCTTCATAGAAATGGAATTTACAATACATGGTCTTTTGACTCTGGCTTCTTTCTCTTAGCGTAATGTTTTCAGGGTTCATCCATGTGTATCAATATTTCATTTCCGTTTTGTTTTCTCTTTTCCTTATCGTGGTCAAATACACATAACATAAAATTTGACATCTTAGCCATTTTTAGGTGTACTGTTTGGTGGTATTAGATACATCATAATGTCCTGCAGTCACACACACACCCCCCCCCCCCGCCATCACCACCATCCATCTCCAGAATTCTTTTCATCTTATAAAACTGAAACTCTATACTCATTAAATGGTAATCCTCATCTGCCCCATTCCGAAGCCCCTGACAACCACAGTTCTTTCTGTCTCTGATTTTGCCTACTCCAAGTACATCATAGAAGTGGAATCACACAGCATTTGTCTTTTCATGACTGGCTTCTTTCATTCAGCGTAGTGTTCTTAAGTTTCATCCGTATTGTAGCAAGAGTCAAAACTTCTTTTTTAGTCTAAATATTCTACTGTATGTGGATACCACATTTTGCTTATCCATTCATTTGTCAATGGATGCATGGGTTGTTTCTGTGTTTTAGCTATTGTGAATAACGCTGCTTATGATCATGGACACACAAATACCTTTTAAGAGACACTGCCTTCATTTCTTTTTGGCTTAGAAGTGGGGGAAAAAAACAATAAAAATAAGTGGAATTGCTGGATCATGGTAATTCTATTTTTAATTTTTTGAGGACCATTATTCTGTTTTCCACAGTGACTGTACTATTTTATAATCTCACCAACAGTGTACAAGGGTTCCAGTTTCTCTACATTTTTGCCAACACTTACTATTTTCAGTTGTTTCTTTTTAATGGTAACCATCATAATGAGTGTGAAGTGGTATCTCATTGTAGTTTTGAGTTGCATTTCCCTAATGATGAGTGACGTTGAGCATCTTTACCTGTGCTTTTTGGCACATGGTGTACATCTTGTTTGGAGAAACATCTATTCAAGTCCTTTGCCCATTTTTGAGTAGAGTTGTTCGTTTTCCTGTTACTGAGTTTTAGTAGCTCTCTGCATATCCTGGGTATTAATCCCTTATCAGATATGTGACTCACAAATATCTCTCCCATTCTGTGGATTGCCTCTTTACTGATGATAGTGTATTTTCATGCACAAATTTAAAGTTTTCATGGAGTCCGTTTGTCTATTTTTTTCTTCTGTTACCTGTGTCTTTGGTGTCCTATCCAAGAAATCCGTGTCAAATCTAGTCTAAGAGTTTTATGTTTTACGCGTAGGTCTTTGATTCATTTTGAGTTAGTTGGGCTTTTTTTTTTTTTTTAAAGATTTATTCACTCATTCATGAGAGACACACACACACAGAGGCAGAGACATAAGCAGAGGGAGAAACAGGCTCCCTGTGGGGAGCTCAATATGGGACTCCATCCCAGGACCCCGGGGTCACAACCTGAGCCGAGGCAGATGCTCAACTGCTGAGCCATCCAGGCACCCCTTGAGTTTGTTTTTGTATATGGAGTTAGATAAGGATCCAACTTTATTCTTTTGTATGTGGATATGCAGTTTTCCCACCACCATTTGTGGAAAAGACAGTCCTTTCCTCATTGAATGGTCTTGGGACCCTTCTCAAATATCATTTGACCAGATATGTGAAAGTTTATGTCTTGGTTCTATTTATTAATTCTATCTATGCCAGCACTACCACACTGTTATGATTATGGTGACCTTTAATAGTAAGTTTTGAAATCAGGAAGCCCTTCAACTTTGTTCTTCCTTCTCAATACTATTTTGGCTCTTTGGGGTCCCTTGAGATTCCATATGAATTTTAAGATGGGTTTTTCTATTTCTCTAAAAAAATGTCATTTAGACTTTGATAGAAATTGCATTGAATCTGTAAGTCAATTTGGTAGTATCAACACCGTAACAATATTAAGCCTTCCAATTCATGAACATGCTATATTTCCATTTATTTATTACTTTAATTTCTTTCTGTAGTGTTTTGTAGTTTATTTTTATTTTATTTTATTTTTATTTTTTATTATTTTTTTTTGTAGTTTTTTTTTTTTAAAGACTTATTTATCATTCATGAGAGAGAGGCAGAGACACAGGCAGAGAGAAAAGCAGGCTCCTCTCAGGGAACTTGATGTGGGACTAGATCTCCAGACCCAGGATCACGCCCTGAGCCAACGGCAAATGCCCAGCTGCTGAGCCCCCAGGCATCCCAGTGTTTTGTAGTTTTCATTATAAAAGTCTTTTACCGGGCTCCCTGGGTGGCGCAGCGGTTTGGCGTCTGCCTTTGGCCCAGGGCGCGATCCTGGAGACCCAGGATCGAATCACACATCGGGCTCCCAGTGCATGGAGCCTGCTTCTCCCTCTGCCTATGTCTCTGCCTCTCTCTCTCTCTCTCTCTCTCTGTGACTATCATAAAATAAAAAATAAATAAAAATTAAAAAAAAAAGTCTTTTACCTCCTTGGTTAAATTCCTGAGTATTTTATTCTTTATGATTCTATTATAAGTAGAATTGTTTTTGTAATTTCCTTTTCAGATTGCTTATTATTAGTGTATACAACTGATTTTTGTATGTTGATGTTTATCCTGCTTATTTGCTTAACTCATTTGCTAGTTCTTACAGTTCATTGTGGAATCTCTAGGGTTTTCTGCATATATCATCTTTGAAGAGATAATTTTACTTCCTTTCCAATTTGGATGCTTTTTATTTCTGTTTCTTGCTTGCTTGCTCTGGCCAGGACTTTGAGTCCTTTGTTGAATAGGTAGTTTTAAAAGTGGATATCTTTGCCTTGTTCCTAATTTTAGAGGAAAAGCTTTCATTCTTTGACCATTGAATGTAATATTCACTGTTGGTTTTTCAAATATGCCTTTTATTATGTTGAGATAGTTTCTTACTGTGTCTAGTCTATTGAGTAAGGGTGTTATGAAAGGGTGTTAAATTTTGTCAGATGCTTTTTCTGCATCAATTGAGATGATCAGGGGGTGTTTTCCTTCATCCTGTTAATGTGGTATATTCCATTGATCTATTTTATATGTTGAACCAGCCTTGCATTCCAAGAATACACTCCACTTGGTTATGGTGTTTAATCCTCCCCTGCTTTTTTTTTTTTTTAAGATTTCATTTGTTTATTAGAGAGAGAGCATGAGGGGGCCTGCTGGCAGAGGGAGTGTGAGAGGCAAATTCACCACTAAGCAGGAAGCCTGGAGGTGGGGCTTGATCCCAGGACCTGAGCCAAAGGCAGCTGCTTAACCAACTGAGCCACCCAGGCACCCTGGCAACAATGTTTTTTTTAACGTTACCTCTCTTATATGTGTGTGGTTGAGTATCTTTCTGTTTATGGGCCATTTAAATTTCTTATTCTGTGAATTCTTTGTTCATCTCTTTGACCTAGGAAGCTTTTTTGAAATGTATACTAATGGGTGCCTGGGTGACTCAGTTGGTTAGGCGGCTGCTTGCAGCTTAGGTCGTGATCCTGGGGTCCTGGGATTGAACAATTTGCTCAGCAGAGTGTTTGCTTCTCCATTTCTGCACCCCCCACCTCTATCTTCCGATCTCTCTCAAATAAATTAATTTTTTTTTAAGATTTTATTTATTCATGAGAGATGCACAGAGAGGCAGAGACATAGGCAGAGGGAGAAGCAGGCTCCCTGTGGGGAGCCTGATGTGGGACTTGATCCCAGGACTCCAGGATCACGACCTGAGCCAAAGAGACATTCAACTGCTGAACCACCCAGGTGCCCCAAAATTAAAATCTTTAAAAAAAATGCATACTTCCTAGGCCTACCCAGAACTACAATGAGAATCTTGGGGTGCTTCCAAGGGGATCTGTATATATCATCCTGGTATAGGACTTTGGACTGGAAGCTACTGTTGTGTTGTTCTGAGTCGGGAAGCCCTAAAAAGCCACATCCTTGGCCCTGCCATGTCATGACTTGTCTGTATGATCAGATGTTTCTGTGCTGTACCTTTTCCTTCTTTTTTATCCACTAAGGATCAGTGAAGTTCACTTAAGTATCAAAACTTGTCTTTGACCCGATGCCTCCACCCCAGTCCCATTGATTACAGTTGGCCATTCCTCACAGGCTCCTGCCTCAGGGGGCATCTCTGTGTTGTCCTTTTTTTTTTAATTTACGATAGTCATACAGAGAGAGAGAGAGAGAGAGGCAGAGACACAGGCAGAGGGAGAAGCAGGCTCCATGCACCGGGAGCCTGACGTGGGATTCGATCCCGGGTCTCCAGGATCGCGCCCTGGGCCAAAGGCAGGCGCCAAACCGCTGCGCCACCCAGGGATCCCCTCTCTGTGTTGTCCTTAGTGTCACTGATGTGCATTTTCCAGGCCTCCCTCCACACCCAGAGCACATCCTCAGCCCCATCATCCCTGCCCAGGAGGAGCCAAAAGAAGGGCAGGCCTCCAAGCATCAGCAAGATTCAGAAACAAGGGTAACCCTACCTGGAGCGAGCACTGGTAAGTGAGAGCTGCCAGGCGGCAGTGTGAATAGCATCAACAACAGTGGCAGGCAGGTGCCACTGGAGCAAGTGCTAAAGCTTGAAGGTGGAAGGGATGGTTGGGGACAAGGCTTGGCTGAGCTGGACAGGCTTCCTGGAAAGGGGACCCCTGAGATGGGCCTTAGAGTAGTGGTAGATGCTGCATGGGAACAAGGCATTTTCAGCAGGAGAAAATGGTCTGAGCAAAAGTGTGGGTCCCTGAGGCATGCTGGGAACCAGGCACTCTGGCCTGGCTGGAGTGAGGGGCCAGGCACACGGGGCCAGGCACTGGGCCTCCTCAGGTTTCCTCCGATGGTTCTGTTAACTGGACAGTCTGTGTTGTTTACCTTGAACAGTGCTGGCGTGTACATTCCTCAGTAGATGTCCTCTTTCTGGAGGCCTGTGAGGGGCTCTGTGGCTTCAATCCCCCCTTCCAGTGAGCTCTGTCTGCTTGTGTGTAAAGGAAGTTCCTGTCTATCCTGTCATGAAAATAGAGTATAACTCCGAGAGCATTTAGCCCATCATGTGGTACAGAGCCTTGTCTGCACTCTGCTAGCTTGGCTTCTTCTGCCCCCTGTTCTCCTCCTTCCTAGAGGCTTGACTTTGCAGTCTTTCTCTCCAGCTATTTCTGTGAATTTCCCCCAGTGAACATGAGCTCCCTGAGGGTGAGGATGATCCTCCTGGTCCCCACCCCTGTCCCCCCTTCCCAGTCTGTAAGGAGAGAGGACCTTCTTCTCACTGTCTCTGCTCCATTGCAGACCTGGCGCTTTTCCTCAGGGGCCTCCCCAAACCCTCTGTCCTTTTGAGATCCATCAGGGTGATGGGAGTGGTCAGCACTGGCCCAGATGGGACCTGGGGGCTTGGCCTTCGCAGCTCTCCTCTCACCTCCGAAGCAGAGGCCGGGGAGTGGGCAGTCCTCTGGGCAGAGCCCTCTTCCTGGTGGGCATTTGAGCATGCCTGGGCTCTGCTTAGAGATGCCGGTGGCATCCTGCAAGAGCCTGGTGTCAGGAAAGGCCCTCACAGAGTCTCTCTCACAGGGCCTCCAGCCTCAGTTAAACAGGAGGAAGAATCTTCAGGTGAGGAGTCTCCAACCTCCTCTCTCAGGAACACTCATCCCAGCTTGGGGCCAGGTGAGTAATGGGAGGAGGCCCTGTGGCCACAGCAGCACTTCAAAGGAGCCCAGGGACCCTTGGGAGCGGGTTGGGAGGTGGTTCAGGGGGCCCTGAGGAGGGGCTTCCTCCTGAGGGTCCCCTCCTCATTCCCAGATACTGTTCCCTAGGGCTCTTGGAGGCCCAGACCATCTAGGTCCTGGTCCTCCTCTGTCATGTCTGGCTTGGTGGCAAGGTGCTACTTGAAAACAAGCTGCATGCACCAGGTTTGTGGTCTGGTGACAGGCCTCACAACAACCCTGTGGAGTGGTCCAGGTGCACAGCCTCCAATGTCTTGCAGTTTGTGTGTGGTGGCCTGTGATTTAAATTTAGTTTCCCCGCCTGGAATTCATAAAACCAGACTCACACTCTGATAAGCAGGAAAAAAGAAAGCAGTTACTGCTCATTCTGGCTTTGGGGTATTTTTCTGTCCTCATAGAAAGGAATCCTGTTCTCCCCTGGTTCCATCCTGGTACTAGCTCTGAGGGTAGGCAGAGGTGAGGGGTGGGCCCACCGTGGGGTTGTGGTGTGGTGGGAGTCCCAAGCTGGAGATGGGCCTCCCACGGAGAGGTCTGGGAACCTTGGTCTTCCATGGAGTGTGGCCCAGGACCCACACTCCTCCCTAAGTTTAGGAATAGCACGGGAGCCCATTAAGTGCAACAATTTATTTTTTTTTCAAGTTTTTTTTTTAAATTTTTTTATTTATTTATGATAGTCACACAGAGAGAGAGAGAGAGGCAGAGACACAGGCAGAGGGAGAAGCAGGCTCCATGCACCGGGAGCCCGACGTGGGATTCGATCCCGGGTCTCCAGGATCGCGCCCTGGGCCAAAGGCAGGCGCTAAACCGCTGCGCCACCCAGGGATCCTAAGTGCAACAATTTAGATGGAAAGTTTAGATGATTCTTATAGACTCTTAACTGATGCTCTTACTCTAGGACCAAATACAAACAGCTGGGTCATTTCTAACTTAGAAATAAAGTTCCGTCAGGAGTTATTTGTGAGGGTTGCCGGGCAGCTGCGCTGAGCAAAGACCCCTGGGGTCCTGACATCAGGTGCTGGCCCAGAAGGTTCAGCAGGTAGGGGTTCACTCCTCGGCAGCAGTCTCCTGGGAATTTAAGTTCATGCTTCAGCAAGAATAGATAGAAATCGTTCTGCCCTAGACCTTGGAAATTGCTTGTAAAGGGCTACAGGTTTTGTTTTAATAGGCAGAGGGTAAGGTCCACTGTCAGTCTTTGAACAAACCTTCTGCTGTAACAGCAGAGCTGCTGGACACCGGGGGAGGTCAGAGAAGCCAATAATGGGGGTGCTCAGTGTAGATTTGTTATGTGGATGAGCAGCTCAGAGTATGGCTAAGACCGCTACCGCCTCCAGGCCTGAGGTTTCTTACCTAGTCTGACGGCTCCAGGGCTCATTAGGGACTAACGTTGTCAGAATTCTCGGGGATCCTGTGCAGCCAGAGTATCTCAGGGTCCAGGGTCTCCCCTGCACCCTCCCACCTGTTGTCTTTCACTCTATCTGACCTCTAACCCCACTGGCTCCTTGGCTCCTATTTTTGAAGCTTTGTCTCCTCTATCCTGATGTCCATAGCTTGACCTCCAGGAATGGACCATTGGAACATCTGGGCCACATGACAATTAACAGACTGGATGATGTTAGGAGGCAGTGTCTGCTTGGTAGGGCCAAGTGAATTGGGTCCCTGATCTGTGCTGTGAGCGCTCAGAAGAGAAAGGACTCTGGGAAGGCAGGAGCAGAGGGTGGGTACAGATGCGACTAGAGATGTGCTGGAGGCCAGGACTGGGTGCAGTGGCCTGGGTGGGGGTTAATGTGGCCCACTTGAAATCAATGGAGATTCCTTTCTCCAGGTGGTCGTGGTGCGGTCATCAAGACAGAAGCACAATCTGAGGACCAGATGATGCCTGAGCAGCTCTTCCTGGAGGAGTCCCGGAGCCAGACCATGTGCAGAATGTCCAAGGGGCCGAGGAGTGGGACTGGGGGCCCCAGCCAGCTTCATGCTGCAGGAATGCCATGCGTGCGGGCAGGGGACCCACGGCCACCAGGTTCCGTTGGAGAGCCACCCCGTGTTCTCCCTCGACGGCGAGAGCGGACCTTCCCCTGCCCCGACTGCGGGCAGAGTTTCCGCTTGAAGATTAACCTGACCATTCACCAGCGGACCCATGTGGAGGAGGAGCACAGGGAGACTTCGGGGAGCCCACCTGCCTGGGGGGAGGCCCACTCCACCCTGGAGCCCGGGGAGGTGGTGGTGCCTGGCCCTGTCATCCGCTGGCTCCCTGAGGAGCCTGGAGGCCACCGCTCCCTGGCAGGCCGCTCCTTCATGGGGCGGAGGCCAGCGGCCACCAAGGTGTACCACTGCAGTGAGTGCCTGCGCTTCTTCCAGCAGCGGAAGAGCCTGCTGCTGCACCAGCGCCTGCACACAGGCAACAGCCAGGGCTGGCCAGCTTGTCCCTACTGCGGCAAGGCCTTCCGCCGGCCCTCTGACCTCTTCCGTCACCAGCGCATCCACACTGGCGAGCGGCCCTACCAGTGCCCCCAGTGTGGCCGGGCCTTCAACCGGAACCACCACCTGGCTGTCCACATGCAGACTCACGCCCGTGGCCAGGTGGGCCCACACTTCCCAGCTCCCTCTGCCCTCCCTGGGAGTCCACCCCTACCACGGCCCAGCCACACCGAGGAGGGCTGACTGGGCAAGAACCTGCAGGGGTACCCTCCAGCTCTCCTGGGCCACCCCGGCAGGACCTCTGTCCACCTTCAGGCTTTTCCACTTGTGCTTGATGCTGGTTCTTCGTTCTGGAATAGCTTTGGAGAGATCTTTTTTTTCATTCAGATGGGAAGCAGTGGCATTTTTGGTGACAGTGTGTGTGTGACCAGATGCCTCAATTTCCTGTTTCCTAGTTTGTCACTCTTTGCTGCCTTTTCTACATTCCTGACTTATAAAGGATCCCTTAAGGCTTAGAGGATGCCAAATTTTGGTGAGAGTCTTTGGCAGGTATCTGAGATAGGCAAGAGGCCTGGAGTTAGTGGCCCTTCCAGGAGGGGGCAATAGAGACATTGAAGGCCCGCAGTTTGGACATTGTACACAGGTCACAGCAGAATGGACAGTTTGGAGAGTAGGCACTGGAAATTCGAGTTTCTTACTGTGTTATTCTGAAATTTTTTTCTCTTTTTGGAGCTTTTCTAGTGCTTTTGTGTTATATGTGGTTGCAAAGGGGACCAGGAGCTCTGAGAGGCAGGAAGTACTCTGCTAACCTCTTTGTGTGTGGGGATGGTAGAGGGGCTGTCCAGTACAGCCTAGGAGTTAGTGGAGGTGCTTGGCTGCTGCCCTGGACACCAGGTTCTTCCCAGTTATGCTTTCTTTGGCCTGGAGTGATTTCCAATATCCCAACATCCGTGGTTGATTTTGGTTATTAGTTGAGAGGGGGAAACAGGCCCGGGGTGGATGACCCTTTCCCCAGGGTCTCAGTATTATGGGTATGCACACTTCCTGGACTGGACCCCATAGAACACCTTGGGGGGTGAGGGAGATGCAGACCCAGCCCAGGAAGCCCCTCCCGGAGAGGAAGATCCTGATGTGAGTGAGGCTGGCCAGCCAACCAGGACTCCTGGGCTCCCAGGCCTCAGGTTTCATGTTAAAGGAGAGGTGCATGTCCAAGAACTCGGGGCTGGTAGCAGAGATAGGCCAGGAGATGTGAATGAAGTTTTTTAACTTCCTCCGGCCTCATGTTCCTCACCTGTCAAAGGGGGTAGTGACCCCAGTGCATCCTACCTCACTTTAGGGTTTTCAGAGTCATAAATGATTCAGAGGCAGTGGGACAAACAGAAAGCCAGGTTTTGTCCTCTTTTTCCAGTTCAGGGCCTCCTTTTTTATTCCACATTGATCTCCAGCCCTTCGCACCCATCAATCCCTCAGGAAGGACCTTTATTTTCTGGAGCACATGGAAGACCCCTTGGGTGCAGAGCCGGGTGAGACTTTCCCTTTGGGCCACATCCCCAAGGAGCCCTTTGTACTTCAGTGGAACAAATTCTTACCAAAGTGATTAAGTTCAAACCATGGAAATTCGGGCAGTAGCATCAGGCCTCCTAGAGAAGCCTTTTTAGCAGCTAGCGTCTTGTGCCTCTTAGTCACACCACTTAGGGTGCTGCCTGCAGACCAACCCTTGGTTTGGGTGATTTTAAACTGAAGGACTGGATCCTCAGCTGTTTTGATTGTTGTCTTACTTGCCTTGGTACTGTGTGAAGTGGCCAGCGTTCAGACCTGCTTCCAGGTGCTGGGTGCCTGGCTGTGCCACTTCCTGTTGCCCCCTCTGACCCTCACACCTCTCCCAAAGTCAGGGGCAGAGTTGGGGGCAAATGGGCCCTTATCTCTGGGGCAAAAGTTAAGTGTCCAAGTTGAGGAGAGCCCAGCCAAGCTCTCCTGGGCTTGGGGAGAAGAGGTGCCACCCTCCCCAGCTGTGCATTCTGCTTGTCTGCTCTGGCATCCCCAGCCCTCACCAGGGGCCCCACAAACAGGGCCTGGCTGTTAGCAAGGGTTCAGACAGGATGTGGTGCAAATGTAGCTGCTCTGTGCTTATCCCTTTGCTGCAAGAGCTAGTTTCAGGTGTTTCCTGGGGTGGGGGTGGGGGGCCTCAAGGCTCAAAGTTCGTAGACCTTTCTAATGCTAAATGCCCTGTGTAAATACAGGTACTACAGCACAAACCAGGAGTGATTGCAGGGCGGCACAGGCCCTCAGCTTTATGGCAAAGCGCCAGGTCCAGTTAGGGCTTGTGAGTTTGCTTGGCACTCAAGTGGTCAAAGAACTTTTTTTTTTTTTTTTAGTTTATTTATTCATGAGCGACACATAGAAAGGCAGAGACACAGGCAGAGGGTGAAGTGGGATGAAATGACTCGACGGATGCAGCGTGGTGCAGGAGCAGAGCTGTGCTCCGGCACCCTGGAGGCTAGAACCCGGTTTGGCCTTACAACTCGCTCCTAGCTCCGGGTCTTGGCTTCCTCATTTGTAAACAAGAAAGGGTGGGGGCCTGGTGCTAGGGGCTCGTAAGAACTGTGACGGGGGCGGCCCTTAGCCTTCGCCGGTGCTCAATAAATATGTTGGACTGAACGAGTATGCGAGTATGCGCGCGACCTGCTTCCTGCCCTCCGGGAGGTGGTCCCACAGAGCTGTCGGCCCGCACAGTCCGGGGTCCTGGGCCGCGTCCTCATCAGGGGCTCTCGACCGCCGGCCACGCCCACCGGCCACGCCCACCTGCGCGTGAGCGCTGCGGGGGCGGGGTCTCGGGCCAGCCAATGGGCGAGGGCTCCTGGATGCGGAGCTTTCCCGGGCTGACCAATGGGGAACGGGCTCCTGTTTGCGGGGCGGGTCCACTCCCTGCAGGGCTGCCGCCTGCGGGCCTACCACGACGCCGCAACCCTGCTCGGCCGCTGCATGTCCCTGCATCTACTTGTGTCTCCAGCCCTTCGTGCCCCCTCAGCCTCGCGTGTCCCCCTAGTCCCGCGTGTCCTCCCAGTCCTGTGTGTCCCCCTTGTGTCCTGCAGCTCTGCGTGTCCCCAGCCCCGTGTGTCCCACAGCCTCATGTGCCTCATGCAGGTCGGGACTGACGGGCACTGGAGAGTGGGGAAGAAGCCTCGCAGGGCCTGGGCCGGTAAGGGCGGCCCTCTGGGAGGGTGCCCAGGAATTGGGGAGGCGCAGCCTGAGTGGAGCAATGACGTCCTCCAGGGCACAGTGGCCAAGGGGTGCTGTCTGAGGTCAACGATAAAGTCCCTTCTCCTTTCTTGGCCTCACCTTGCCAGTGTGAAGACTTAGCCGCAAGATTTCCCGGGTGCCAGGCAGCCCTGACCTTTATTGGAGCCAGCCCTGTGGGTCCTGGGGGTGGGAGAGGAGGATGGAGCCTAAGCGTCCTCACTCTAGGGACCCTCGGGGCTTTCTTTTTTGTACCTGTCCTTCAGCCCACCCACCCCGCCCCCAAAACTGACACCTTAGGGAGACCATCACCCCACTGTCACCCCCTTTCCATGCTGAGAGGTTACTACTGTCTGGGCCCTCGCCTTTCTCCTGTGCAGTGGTCTTGCACCTGACTGTGAGGATCCCCTGAAACTCTTCTGGGCCTGGACTCTGATTTCTGTCAGGATGCATTTGAGTGCCTGCTTGCTCTTCCAAAAGTCCCCAAGAAGTCCTTCCTATTGCTGTTGGGAGGGGTCTGCATTATAGAGGACTTTTGATTATGTGTTTCAGGCTCAGATTTGACTTAGTCTGTCCCTGGCCTGTGTGACAAGAACTATCAACACCAGACTTTTCCATGTCTCTGAAGGTAGAGGTGTCATCTCCTGGTAGAAATAGTTTTGAAATGGTTTTAGATACATTCCTGAGCACCAGATTTGCGACAGGGCCTTACAGGAAGAGAAGATGTTCATCCTTAATCTGTACAGATGAGATCTTCCTCCTCCAGGCTTACCTTGTACTGATCAGGGGCCAGACTCAGAGATGGAACAGTTGTCCCTTGAGAGTAGGAGGGAAGGGACAGGTATATGAAGACCCATACCCAGTATGTGTTGGACATTTTGCGAAGTGCTTTGGAGGAGGTATTCGAGGAACCTCAGTTGCACAAGATTGGGATAATCGGGTTTTGGTTCATAACACATTCTGATTGGCAGCCCAGGCTATATTTGTTTTCTTAATGTTTGTTTTAATAATAACATGTGCCAGTAATAGATGCTAAGTGCATTTCCACACCTTTAGTTCACTTCGTCCTCACAACTACCCCCAAAACATGCAGGATTCAAATGGCAGGAGAGGTATTGAGTCAAGTTCTAGTAAAGTTTCATTTCCAGGAATGTTTCCATTATACCTTGGCTGTCTCCAGCGAGCCATTCCTGAATTTCTTGTTTTATTACTTCTAGTAATAAACAACCAATTTTCCATGTCCTGGGGCAAGATATTTTTTGAAACATTTCCTTGTGCTTACTACTCTTAAGTGCTGGCTTTCAACTTTCTTTGGCTCCACTTCCTGGCAGCTAGGACCTGGCGTCCTAGTGTGGAGGCCTCTCTGGGGCTGGTGAACAAGGCACCTGGGTCACAGGGCCCTAACAGGTCAGGAAGTCACGTGCCAGTGAATGTCAGGGTGGGAGGGCATTAGAGATGCCAAAGCCAGAACGACAGAACCTTACCTCTGAGACCAGAGTAATGGGAGTGGGTTTGCTCTACAACACTTGCCTGAAATACCATTCTGAGTGTGCATTGGTCCCCTGGGAAGTTTTCCGGACCACTCACTTCCTAACTGCTGCTGGGCTGTGTTCCCAGCTTGAGGAAAAAAGTTAAGTAATTGGCTAAGCTCACATCACTATTATGTGGTAGAGCTATGATTCAAATCCATTGCACTCTGTCCATTCATGATGGTAAAGCTTTGTTATTCATTTTCCATTGCCCCTGGGTCTTGGTTCAAGATTCTTCCCTTGGGGGCTCTGTGGTGTCCAGTGTCTGCTGTCTTTGAAAGTCTGCCAGCTAGGGTCTGTTTGGGGGTCTGACCAATGAGGTCTTCTGGTACCCAGAACAAGTTTCCCCCATTCCAAGGGACCCTGTAGCTGGGAATGACTCTGGTACCCTCTCTTATGGAGGCTGATTCATCTCCTTGTGTCTGGTTGCAGGAATGGCACAAGGGGACTGGCCTCCCATAAGAGGCCCCCAATTCAGTCTACAGAGATCTCTTTTCTAGCTGTCTTGGTTACCATTTGGATTGTGGAGATGATGGAGTCCCAGGGCTGCCAACCTCAGAGCTAGGAAAGGCAGAGACAGCTGAGAAGAAGTTAAACAACTGTGAGAAGACGGCTGTGGAGTTTGGGAACCAACTGGAGGGCAAGTGGGCTGTGCTGGGGACCCTGCTGCAGGAGTACAGGTTGCTGCAGAGGTGGCTGGAGAACATGGAGAACTTGCTGAGGAACAGCAACTTTTGGGTGCTATGATTGCCAC